AAAACTTTTGTGCAGACTCTGTTAACAGCTTAAGTGAAACAGAAACCTATGTGTTGTGTTAAACTGGGTTCACTTAGCATGAATGAAGCTGCGCACGGAAGCTCTCAGACATCCCTGAGCTTCATTTAGTAAATAAAAGGTTTTGTTTGGTTCTGTTCATTTCACCCTGTCGCCAATTATTTTCACAATTTTGACTGTTCTCTCTTGTCATACTCAATGTTTTTGAGTACCAAGGAGAGCTAATACTTAAGGGCATTAATATGAAATGGTTTAGTTATATGTGCAAAGTTCATGGTGAGCTGGGTGAAAGGGCAGTGTGTTGGTATGAAATTGAAAATCTATGAAACTGATCTGATTGATTTTTGCTGTATATTTTGTGTGAATTGTTTTGGTTGAATCTACACGATTCTAGAATTGTGCTGCTCATGGTGGCAGCATGTTGGTGTAGCTCTGATTTGTTATTTTCGTAAACTTAGTTTGTAATTCTTTGGTTGAGGCTTTGGATGTTTGGACAATTGTTCCCTCTGGTTCTGGACGCTGTGCAGCTGGAATTACTTTTCCTCTCAGACTGCTGCTACGATGCATAACTATTGCCACAGTTTTACAACTGGGAGCACCTGATTAGCATCTCAAAAGCTCTGATAATACCTGAACTGTGATGCCAAAGCAGAGGAGTTCAAAAGGAGAATTCATGGATGACCATAATGGACAAGGATCATATCCTCAAATCCAGTATGTCTCTGCCAGGCTTTCTAACCAAACGCCCAGACAGCGATCAAATCGGCAAAAGCAAATGATGTGGATTAGCAGTGGTTGCCTACTGGTGGTGTCAATGTGGAACATTTTCTCTGCTGCCCAGATTTGAGCTGTTTGCATTGTAATGGCTATCATAAGACTGTCGTAGATGACCAGTCTCTTCAGTCAGAGGCCTCTTCTTATTAATTACAAGACTGACTGCTATTGAAGGTGCTTCCTGTTCACGGCATCACTGTCCACAATGACTGTTTGAAGATACATGGATGATATGAGTTTATAACATTTAATTTTCTTTTGACGTAAAGTGTTTTTAAATTGAACTGAATGTTGAATTGAATTAAATGTGTTTTGTCATGTCGCTTCAGTAACAGGCCTGGGATCTGTGTTTGTTTTGTTTTTTGCAGATTAGTAAAGAAACTAGAACATTCCTTTAAATCCTTGGTTCATGATGGGGTGAGTAGTTTCTAGTTCTTTGTCAGTTTGTTGTGGATGAAAACACAGGTTTGAACATAAACCTTTTCTCCCCACTCAGGACACTGTATCAGTACACAGGCCAAGTTTTTATGCGGATAGATTTCAAAGGTTCATGAGCAATGTGGTTTTCAAGAAGGTGCCAGGTAAAGTTTATGTTAAATCACTGTTAAAAAAAAAAAAAAAAAACATCCCAATTTTACAACTTGAGCTCCTAATTTGCTCTTTACTATCTTGCATGTAGTAAAAGCCTCCCCAGTTAAGAAGCGTCGTGCTAACGGTCCTGCGAAGAAACCTGCTGGCTCTGGGCTCTATCTATTGACTCAAGCCAGCTACCAGCAACCTTCACTCCAACAAGTCAGCACTGACACTAAGGAGGACACCGAGGGAGTCATCGGTAAGAGAAATAAGAGCGCAGCCGCTTCAGTTGTACTGTGGGAAACAAAGTTTTGCTGATAGCTGAAAACATGTGTTGGCATGTGAAGTGACGCTTTCATAATCCAGTAATACAAGTTTATCCTCTTCTCCCACCCAGGCATTCAGTCTGGTCGACCTGACCTCCTCCTGCAGAGCTTACCCCACAGCGGCAGTGCTGTCAACACTCCTACAACTCCAACTTTTCTATCTCTCACTCCCACAATACACACTCTGTCTCACTCTCAGGATACCTTAAAGAGTGAAGGAGAAGGTGGAAGTGAAACACCCAGCAGACACCAGGACAGCAGCAGCCCCCAGAGGTTAGATGGAGCATTTCATCTCGGTTTAATTATAAAGAGCAAGTAATTCTCAACAAATGTCACGTCAGTGGACTTCACAAACTGGTCCAATTCAAATCCAGTTACACTAGCTCTGAAATGTACAAACGCCCTGTAAAAATGGCAGGTATTTCTGATGTAATAAAATATACTTTAATTATTTTTTAAAGTTTTTCCATGTATAGTGTGATATATATTCTACACAATTCAAGAGAGACATAATTTAGAAATCTAAAAAATAAAAAGCTACATTATCCTGGTTGCGCAAATATAAATAAATAGCCTTTGGTTCTTTTTCAGCATTAAGTCTTGAGTACACAACATCCATCATAATAGAGAATCTGATTATGTTCAGAGAATTATCCTTTACTCCAGCTTGATTCTTGATGTATGAGGTTCAAGAAGAGTCAGTGAGTTGAATTCATGAATTCCATTTATTAATACCAAAATACAGCTGGTCCAGCTATGCAGGTTCTCATAGTAAGGTTTTTTGTTAATAAAATACCTAAATACCACACCTTTGATTGATGCCAGTTGAATCAACAAAAGTCCCTTAATTGTTTTGAGGGCTGAAAAACAGAAGGTCAGAATTTTAGTTGTTATGCTGAGTGTATAACTGGAGACTCTACCATCGGTTTCCAGGAATGTTCATAAGCAGTGGAATACTAGATTCAGGAAATTACCAATCAGAGCCAGGAGAAAGGTTTTAGCGCTCTCAATCATGCTAATGTACATGCTACTCTATGTGCTAATGGCGGAGAAAGAACTTAGTTACAGGAAAACTGTTTATCTGCCGTCATCGAAGCTGTAGCTTGGCAGAGAACAAACTGGTAGTGAGGGAATGACTGGTGCTAAGACCCACCTCCTGGCTGTGATTGATTGTTCCTAGTTAGGAACTAGATTTTTTTTTTCTTTCTAATTTTTCCCCTCGTACCATACTGTCGCAACATAGTGACAGCTTTGACAAATATGTAAAAACTTTTTAAAGTTACATACTGCAGCATTAAGATCAAAATGTGAATTATTTCCATTTTTCAACTGGTCTTAAAATTTCGATCAGGAGTCTATAATTTCTTTATCTCCTACACGTCTGCTTTGAGACTTTCAATTAACTCTTGATCTGGCCTTCTACTTTGTGCTTGTTTCCAGTGGCATCAGGCAGGACATGATTCAGTGAGGAATGGATATTTTAAAGTTTTTCAAGAAAGTGTTAAGCATCACTGCTGGTAATAAGAAAAGTTAGCTTCAACCCACAGCTAACATAAAGTCATTACATAAATATAATTAATGAACCAACCAACTGCTCCCTGTTTGACAAATAAAACCCTGGCTACATACTTCATATGAGAGAAAGTTACATTCCAGCGCTAAAAGAATGCTGCTGCTTAGCAAACTACTTAGTCAGAAATGCACCATGAAGGTCCTGTTGTTTATAGAGTGAAGTGTGCATTCTTTTATCACATATTATCTTTGGGTGGACTTTCTTATGGAGCATCTAATATTTTCCCCACTTCACACATGGTTGCTTGCACACAGTGGAACAGGAGTGAGCTCATTCACGTGTGATTGTCATGAGTGGATAATAACAATAATAATAATTCACTCATAAGAATAACTTCACCAACCCTATAGACCTGTAGGAGTCAGGACAGAGGAGCACAGAGAGTGAGAGAGGAGGGATTTTTTCAGGAAAGGTGAGTCTAGCAAGTAAGGTTGGCCACCATCCAGCAGAGGTCGCCACTGGTCATCCTTAAGGGAGCCAGTTGATACAGGAATAAAGATGGTGGGCCATTCCTGAATATGAATGGCCCATACAGAGTCTGATGTGGAATGCAAAATGCACTTTATGCAGTTCTGGTTTGAAATATAAACATTCAACAAGCTCCTTAAGGTTCAACTTAAAGTGACTATTCAACCGAGCTGCATGATGAAGCAGCATCAACTGCTCCGTCAAGCATCAGTAACTCAAAAATTACTATTGTACTACGAAGGCGAAGATGTGATACCAGAAAAGTAGAGGGTATTATGCAAAAAAATTGTAACATGATGGAAAAAACCATGACGCCAAAAGCGTGGTTGAGTTTTGAGGGTTGTTGAATTAATTACCTTAATGGAGCAAAGTTTTAACATTCCTTTTGGAGCAACCACAGACTGTACTTCTCCATGAGAATCTCATACAGGAGTATTGAGTTTCACATATTTTATTCTTTTCTTTTATTTTTCTATTCTGCAACTTCAGATGTTCCTGTTTTGTTAGATTGTATAAATATGTCTAAGTTTAATGATGTAAGAAAACAATAACTGTCTGCATGTCCTACTAAAAGGCATGCAGTTCTAAATCTGACAAACGTCTTGAGTGAATCACACTTGCAAAACATTACTGAAAACAAAGGAGGTACTGGTGGCCATAAAAATTTTTTGCTTATAAAACAGAGGCTGGATGTTTCCCCACAGGTATGTTGACTATGTACAACTTCCTTGAGTAAGACATGTTTCTCTGAAGGCAAACATCCAAGTAAACCAAAAGTGCCTGTAAGCAACTGCTGTTCCGAAAATCCTTTAGTGCACACTGTCAGCTGCACTCCTGGCTGCATCAAACATTGGGTCAGAAAAGACTTCACAGTCTCACAGTCATGCCAATTGAAAAAGACTTGGCGTCTGAGTCACAACAGAGTAATAAACAAGTTTTCGACTCTTAAAAACAAACATTATTCTTTGATGCTTTCACCCCAACAAGTGACTGGCAATAGCACCCATCTTATTTGAAAGTGTTGTGCTTCATGATAACACAGTAGTGTTTGAATACAATTTAATGAATAAGTATTTGTAAAATACAACAATGTAATTGTGTGGGTTTTTTTTTTTGTCAGTGCTGTAAACCTACATCTTGTGTTGTATATTTAAAATCCAATGGCTTCCTAAAACTTATACACAGAAGGCTACCTCTGTTAAATCTGTTGACAAAAAGGAAATGAACTTCTCAGTTCTTACTAGCTGTTTGAGAAATTTTGTACTCACCTATTACATTTGCCTATATCCTGTGGATATCCTGAGGATTTAGACCCCTTGTCCTTAAAACCTAGTGATGCTGGATCAAATCTGGGCTGAACTGCTCCCCTTCGTCGTCTTCCTCAGACCTGCAGAGCAGTTTTTCTTTTAATTCTATTACTCTGGACAGAAAGGCTTGAGCAGACTCCTTTGGGTTTGGGAGATGTCCATTATTATGTACTGCAGGTCCATTGATGAGTCATCTTTGTAGTGACAAAGAGATCTCTGAGATGAAGGCCAGGGCTGACAGCTTTGATGACTGTTTCAATTATTTCATTCTCAGAATATCCCATCTCGAGTCCTGACTCAATCTGGTTATTGAGACTGGTGAGATAAAACTTGTCTTTCCAAATCTTTCTCTTTATGTTAAAGTCTTTCTTTAATGTGACTTTAGTTACTCTTTAGGTACTCTGTAGGTTCCAGGAGGATTTGCCTTTGTCGCCGATTACTGCCTTTGTGCTCACCTTTGCCCCCAAAGCTCCAATTTTCTTCTCCAGGATGCAGTGTTCTTCTTGCACCTGCTGAAGTTGCTTGTGTTCTTGCTCGGGTTTTTCTATAGGAGCATTTTCTGACTTTTGAGATTCAGGTTCAACTGTTTCATGCCCTTTGAACCCGCCACCTTGAACCCGTTTCACTGCGCTTTAGATAATGGCACACTTTGACGAGTTCTGGCTTCTCTAAAGTTCATAGTGTTGTGATGATTTCATCCAGTACTTGCTCCATGTAGACTTGCCTGTCACGTCTAGGTTCGGCTCTCAGGTAGGATGCTTATTTTATCTCCTGGCAAGATTATGTTAAAACTTGTGACAAAACTTGTGACGTGACAGCAGACGCACAGATTAGTGTGCAATAAAGTGTCTTTATTCTGTGAAAACAGAAATCAGCTTCTTGAGTAATGGCTTCACTGTGATGCTGACTTAACTGTTCAGCTTATGCTTACACTGAGTTTCTAACGCGTTTATGCTATGCAGACTAAGGCTAGTTCACACAGCAGGTGTCGATACTCAAATTCGATTGTTTTTGTTTTGTTTTGCGTGGTTCTTCATACTACTGATTAAAGTAGTATGAGTAGATGAGACTTAATGGGGAAAATCAGACTTATTTCATAATTATAATTTTCAGCTATTGTTTATGTCAGCTTCTTCTGGTGCACAATTATGATGCATGACTGTTAATGACAATACGACTACAGACGCTTTGAAAACAATCGGACATGTATTCGCAATTGGAAGAGGCACATATCGGATATTTTGGGGGGAAGAAAAGATCGGAATTGGGCCTGCCTGGAATCTGAATATAGGATTTGGACTTCATATGCCTGCTGTGTCAACGTAGCCTACTATTTTAGTAATTACACAGTTTGTATATTTTCTGTTACGTATGAAGCACAAGATAAAACGTATAAAATGTTTAAATTTCGTGGTGCTTTCGTTCGTGCACAACAATAATAAAATGAATTCTGATTCTGGATCATCATACACAATCATGAACTTAGCTTAGTCATTTTTACTCACTGTGGACCAGTGCTCGGATAAATATATGATATTGTATACCTTGTAACTACCCTATCACCTATAATCAAGGGGAAAGCAATCGTAAACCTGCCTAACTTTTTCAAGAAAGCTAACGGTTAATAACATTTAGAGAAACGGCAATTAACGGTTACACTATTGACAGTTAGCATTTCGGCTAGCAGCAGTTAACAGTCAATTGTAGTACACAGAAATATCTCAAAATAGAATCAATGACAATAAAACACTGTCCTGAATTTACAGACACTTCTAATAATGGTACTTATCTATTACTTCTGCACTCAACCCACCTGTGAAAACAGAAATTGAGAAACCGGCTTCTTGAATAAAGGCTTCGCTGTGATGCTGATTAGTTTGTACAGTTTACGCTTACACTGAACTTCTTCTGCATAATTCTGGATAGTCAGTCGCGTCATTGTGCGCCATCTTCTGGTGATAATTGGTACTGCACCAGAAATCACTTTGTCTTTGTTTTCAGATTTCAGTCTTCTGTTCAAGAACATATTACTACAGAGGATCCAATCCCACTCAATGACATGGCTTCCACTGAAAGAAAAGGCACTGTAAGTAAAATTTAAATTTTCTTTGTCAGCTTATGCTTACCTTATGTCTTTTTAATCAAACGTTTTTTTCCCCCACAGGCATTAGATGTGGAACAGAAACCAGGATTCAATGAAAATAAAGTTGAAAGTGTTCATGAGCAACACTGAATTATTTACAAGCCCTCCATTCCCAGCCCTCTCTTTGCCTTCCTTGAGGTACCAGGACTAACAAATCCTTGTAGTGAATCACTGGGACCAAGCCGGACGTTTGTTTATTTTTTGTTTATGTTCCTGTTCGTTTGCACATTGATTTCTGAACAGATGTGTTCTGACACTAGTAAATGTGGGAACATTAATGTGATGGTTAGTGAACACTATCTTTCTCTCCCAGGGGTACCTGTATTCAAATCTAGTCATAATATTTAATTCTTATCCTAATTTAAACCAGCATTCAGAGTGACTTCAGGATTTTTTCTATTATTCATTTATTTGTCTTCTTGGAGGCCATTCCTTATTTTGTATTTGCCAAATCACTCTTGCAGGTCCTAATACAAACGCTGGTATCTATCCTATTGTATATTGTACAGAAAAGATGGATGTATCCAAAGTGACATCAAGGATTGTTGCAATTTTCATATCTTTAGATGTGAGCACATTTCGAAAATAACTGAAGAATATTATGTATTTAAGAGCTGTCTAATCAAAAAGTGTGAATTGAACTAAAGATGTCAATGACTTAAGTTTATTTTTAATAGTAACTTCTTTTTCTTTTTTTTTTTTTAAATCTGGACGTTTTACGCCTCCTAATGGCCAAGAAGTGGTATTGCAAGTAAAATCATTCTCTATTGGCTTTACTTTCAATAATCAATAACTGGACACATTTTCTATAAACAGTTTATAGACCTCACCTTAAGTGGCTGAAGTTGAATTATGATTTTTTTTTAAACAAATGATTTAGTTTCTTTAAAGCAAATCAATACAGTGTATATGTGGAACACTTTTTTTGAAGCAGATGTTTATGTTGAAAGGAATTACTGTTTTCATTTGTAATAAGATGCTGTTTTTTCCCTTTTTTTTTCTTTTTAAGCCTTGCTTTAAATGTACATAATGCTGGGGAAAGTCAGGACTCTCAGCTTTTTATTTAACCAAATTTTCTAATGCATCTATATGACTTCAAACACCGTGAATCCTAACAACAACTTCTAATGTTAAGGTCAAAACTATATTTTACAAGAAGGTGATTGTTGTTTTTTTATACTTTGAGTAGATGTGATCAAATGTAATTGATGGATGGTGAAGAAGCACCTCAACAAACACTGATCTGGGGTCTGTCTCATAAAAGACCTCTGATCTGAATCTTGTACTTTGTGTCTTGAGTTCGTTCAAACAGAGGTATTTTTACACAAAAGCCACCCATCAAAAAGCAGTTTCTCTTGAATCATGTGACTGGAACTAAAAAGTAGGAAATGACATTATTATAAGCTGGTACAATCATTTTGTTTTCTCATGGATGTGGTTGGTACGGTTTACACAACATTACTCTGACAGGTGTCAAGTGATGTGTATGAAAGTAAAAGCATTTTTACAGAGGTGCAGATGCCAATGTTTGAGATTTTCTCATTGGTGTTCACCTGACCTTGGTGCAGGGTTGTCCATCCCTGTGAGACACATGCACAGACAGTCTTTCTTCATGATATTGGAAATAATGTTGTAGCTGTAAATGATTGCAGTCTAATCAGATACTTACACTGTTCTTATATAAAGTCAGTTTTAATAAAAAAGAAAATACTGCCACAGGACTATTTTCTATTATTTTTCAAGTGTATTTCTGTTTATGAAATATAATTCAATGAGCCAAAATACTAAATCCATTCATCCACGATTTTCCACTTATCTAGGTTCGGGTTGTTGGGCAGCAGCGTAAGCAGAGGCCCTGAATTTTCTCTTTCCAGTCATTTGTGTCCTATCTAAATCACTTAGCACATATATTAGTGACACTGCAGTGTCTCTACTGTTAATTTAGGAAGTGGCTGAAATATGTCACTAAGAATAGAGACACTTTTTCAAGAAACATTATTACATGGTATTTTTGAATTGGATGTAAAGTTATCAGATTTTGCCAAAGTATCATCAGGATAACCAATCAAAATTCTTATTTACCAAGATAAATAAACAGCTGACCTCAGAATCACCCCAAGTGACTTCTGGGGTAAGTGTGTTCTTTGGCTTACCAGAGACTCCACCTACTCGGCGTCGTTCGGTTTTCCGGGTGACAAAGCACGCAAGCACGCAGCTTGAAAGTCGAACGTAACATTACGTGACCAATAATATGTGCTCTTGTTCAGTTTTTGTCCAATAGGATTGGGGATTTTTAGACTCCGCCAGAGGCAACAAGAAGTTTCCAAAATGGTGCTCGAAAGTACTATGGTTTGGTAAGAACTCTAGAAACGAATTTTAAGTAGTTTGTAAACTATTTCTTGTTTATAACAAAACATGATAGGCTAGTACTCGACAATTGAAATGGTTAAACTGAACACAGGACGAATGTCGCGGCTTTCTGACCTGATAAATAACGGTTAAGAGCTAGCCGGCTAAAGCAGAGTTGAGTGGCTGAGTCATTGTAGCTAAAATTAGCCAATAAGTCCCGTCCTAGTAAAGGATTTATTTAGCTAAAAGATATGGGTATAATTCTAGCACTTGCGATTGAAAGCTTTTTGCTCTGTTACGGTAAAAGCGAACTCTTTATTGTTAACACCAGTCGCAACAGTGGGGTTATCCATAGCTAGTTGCGTTAGTTGTTTTTTAAACGTGTGAAATCCTTCTTTGTAATATTGTTCTGCTTCATAAATCTTGTTTTTGGATGCTTGATATATGGGACTGACTTAAGATGCGGTACTAATTCAACCAGTCTGTTAAGAGTTAACATTACATTTTGGTTAAAGTTATGAACTAGTTGTCTGACTTACGAGGTCAGCCTCATTTTAACGTCTTTACCTTTAGTGTGGACAACAGCGAATACATGAGGAATGGAGACTTTCTACCCACAAGACTACAGGCTCAGCAGGATGCTGTCAACATCGTTTGCCACTCCAAAACACGCAGCAACCCGGAGAACAACGTTGGACTCATCACCATGGCAAAGTAAGCTTTTTTCCCTACATTACATTAATTCATAATTTACATATCAAGAGACAATCTACTGATAGAGACACACAGTTAATTGCAGTTGCCACTACAGTATCAACATCTCACAAGATTGAGATATTGATGCAACATTTGATGAGTATTTTGCAATAAGAAAAATAGTTATCTTGTTTTGCAACAAGAAAAGTTCAGTGTATAAGCAGATTAATAATTCATATTTGCAGAGGTCTTTCCATCTTGACTGCTTCACACAGCTCTATTCTGCTGGCTGCGCTTGGTGGTAATTATTTAAGGGACATCAGTGCTTGAATGAGTTTGGGGGAAATATATCAAGACTACTTGCTATCGCAGTGCAAAAATCACACATGCGGACTTCCCGTAAAAATGTATGTCATAAATTCTAAGAAATATTTATTTGGTAGTCGATAAGCATAGACGTATATAAATACCTTTGGCTAATATTCCAATGAGATTGCACGGGGTTCTATGGATCTCTCTGAATACCAACTATGGCCAACAGTGTGTTTGTGTTTCTTCTATGGTGTAGTAACTGTGAGGTCCTTACCACCCTGACATCAGACTCTGGCCGCATTCTGTCCAAACTACACGCAGTCCAACCCACAGGAAGAATCTCATTCTGTACCGGCATCAGAGTGGCTCATGTAAGCAGTTCACAGATTCAAACTTTGACTTAACAAATTTGTGAGTATAGAAAAGGTCTGAAATTGAAGCAGCATTTTGTGCTCCTGTGTGTACCCTTGTGAATTTTTATTTTGTCTTACTTAAATCAAATCATAGAGATGTTACATTTCAAACACACAATAAGCAAAAAAAATTACAGGAAATTCTCTAAATATACCTAAAAATTGCTGTTTTAATAAATGGCCTTTGCATTTAAGGTGTTTATAATTCACTAGAAATTAAAACGCATAATAATCTAGTTCATCCAGTAGAGTGGTTTCTCTACCTTCTACAGAACTCAAAGTTTTCAGATTTTTACCATTCAAACACTGAAAACTGTAAAACAAAAATCAAGATCAGACACAACACAACTGAACCAAAACAGCATGAGAAATAAATATATTTAGTTAAAATAAATTGAACAGACTCACAAGTCACAGCTAAACTGGCTGTAGTGTAATGGAAAAATTAACAAAATCAAAAAAATGGAGGCCTACAAATCGAAATATTTTATCGAGTTATAAAAAAAAATAAACTGAGATTTCTAAAATCACAAAATACCAAATGTCTAAACTAATAAGCCAGACAAATCTTATTAATTGTGGTACGTATAAATCCACTGGAGTTTTAAATCTTTTTCTTTTTATCTCATCTGAAAAATCCTGAACGAAGGATATGGGAAGCTTTGCAGATGTCTACTAAATCCATCATTCTTCTCACAAATATTAAATACTTTTACATGTGCATTTTAAAGCAGAGCAGCACTTTTTGAGCAGCCATGTTTACATCTGTCTTTTTCAGCTGGCTCTAAAACACAGACAAGGCAAAAACCACAAAATGAGGATCATTGCCTTTGTTGGGAGTCCTGTGGAAGACAATGAAAAAGATGTGAG